GGCGCACGCCACAAATCGGAGGAGAAGCTCGGCCAAACACTAACATATGTGTAAGCGCCAATCTATTATTATTATTATTATTATATTATTAAAAGCTGTGACGTCAAGCTGGAAACGAGTAATAGCGAAGAGGGAGAAATAAAGGGGAATCAGAATATAAATGTATGTATGTATGTACGTACACTCAGGAAGCTTAAAATTGGTGATCTAAATATGCATGTGGAAAAAGTAAACTCGGAATTTGTATGCTCTCACGCCCTATTTAGAGGTCGCTCAAAGCGCTCAAAAGTTTCTATGTATTTTATATGGGGAAAAAACAACTTTTCGTAGAAGTGGTATAGAATTCTTGAAAATTAACCATTTTCGATTTGAAAACTCTGTTTCTCTTCAGGAGATTCCCAGTAATGGGTAGGTTCAGAAGGCGCAGCAATATTACCATCATCTATCACGCAAGGGTTTAGTTGATCAAAAGTCATTCCGTCTTCGTATACTAGGGCTCGGGTTCATCTTATTTCCGGTTATAACCTGTTAAAGGTTGGATAAGTGTTTCATCCACAGTTAGGTATGTTCTGTACATCGACCACCAGGTCATCATAGTTGTTCTTAAAGGAGTTTGTCGTGGTATTTAAACCTTCAGCTCTCTATATCGGTCCCACACAGCTCGTGTTGTACTCGATCGCAGCATCGCCCTGTAGGCAGTTTTTTCTCTGCTACTTCGTGACATTCCTCGTCGCCCATTTTGATTCTCGGGTTCGCTAAAATCTGGCCACTTCTTCGGCGACGGTACGTAATGTGCGGGAAATGTGAATGTCGACCAGCTTTAGTCCATTATCCGACAGTACTCGGCGACGAACTTTCTCCTCCACCACAAATCCGACACCGAATTTGGGCTCCCTAACATGGCAGCTGTGGTTCGCAGTCCGGCGAATTTCTAGGACGGCGGTGATGTCAGCGGTAGTCGTATTAAGGATCCGGACATTGCAGCTACGTGCTCTCAAATCATAGTCGCTTAAACATTCAGCGTGGTCATCATCAGAAGAAGAGACTCATCCGGGGCTTCGCTGATAGCTTAACTGATATTTATCAAGTGCCAAAATTCCGGAATTCTCGAAAGGCGAACTTAGTATGATTTTTATTGCCCCTTGAAAGAAGAAAACCAAATCTCTTTAAAGTGAAAAACTTGAAATTAATTCAAATAACGAGTATTTTTATAAGTTGTTAATAGGAACCATCTTCAGAGGTCAGTAGACTTCTTAATAGGGTGTTAAAAACCTTAAAAGAAAGGCGATTAGTCTAAATATTATAGCGGGACGAAAATTCGCTAATTCCTGGGCCAGAGATATGGAAGTAGATAGGAAGGGCCAACATACTAAACTGGTACAGTCTGGGTTTCCCTTATCACCTTTGATGATGGTTTTTTGGAGCGTTCAATCGGGCCGAAGCTAAATATATCGTTAAGCATAGCGGGAACTTTTAGGCTCATTGATTGAATTGCTGATTGAACAGCTGATCGACTTTTGCCCGAAAAATTGTTTTCAATCATTTTCAAGCTAGAAACAAACGCTTCGGATTTTCAGTAAACTCTTCAATTATTTCCTTCTCAATCATCACTTGATTTTAGTTAGTTCAGATACTCATTCCTCTCCTTATTGTCGTTCTTCTGCGTCCCCGTTCGGGCACTCTGAGCAATGGAATGAACCCATGTGTGAGATACTGTAGCCAACTCGTTGAGCCTTGATTCACGATGAAAGAGAAGGGTGATTCGGAAGAGCCTTCCGATTTATTCGTTTAAAGGGTTGACTAATGCCACCAGCATCTGTTCAGCTTTAGATTCGCCCAAAAGTGGGCGTATTTTGTCTTAAGCATGTGACTGGGAGTATAAAAATTGTAAATATTTTGGCAGACATTCTAGGGCGGTGCCCCTGCGGTCGATCTCTTCTTCGATACTCCTATACATACGCTGCATCCTCCGGCGGACAAAGCCAAAAGTCGAGTGACCAGTAGGTTGCACAAACTGCCAATTCCTAGGGCACCAGCGGTGAAGTTCGGGTAGCCATCTCGAAGGGGAAAGCCGCCAAAGCCGTCGGACCCGACAGAATTTGCATATACTATATATATATGCTTATACTGAAAAATTAGGGTCCAGCGGAAGTAGGCTACCTTAGCAAGGTCCTCAACCTGTCTATGGCCACTCTCATCATTCCGGACATCTGGAAAATTGGGAGGATGGCCCCCCTGCTGAAGCCTGGGAGACCGTCCAACAAGGGAGAGTCTTATCGTCCGATAACTCTCATTTCCTCGGTAGCGAAGACACTTGAAGCCTTGAAAAGATGTGGTCTAAATCGAAACCGCCCCTGTGAGAGAACAGTTCTAGTAGCATTGGATCTGTCATAGGCGATTGACATCGTCAGTCACTCCCCGCTATTAGAAGACATTGAAGCTTGCTTTTCCCACAGGGACTCAAACGACATTCGTCAGTCGTTCCCACGACAGTCGGGTCTACGTAACCGGAACGACCCAGATTTATATCTGGCCAAGGACTGTCACTCCAGCAACACTCCCCAAAAAGTCTTTGGGGAATTTGTATGCTGCTACAACAACAACATTCGTCAGTCATTTTTAGACAAAACCGAGGAAAATTAAACATGGGGTTCGAAGGGTGCTCCCATTTTCCCGCTACTGTTTAATTTTTACATATCAAAGCTCCCTCGAACACCAGTGGCTATAATGACGTCTGGGAATGGAATTGATGACTTGTGTTCGAAAGTAAACGGTTACCTGCCTGAGCTTTCTCGCTTCTTCGCTGCAAGGAGAATAGCCCTCTCCTTGACCAAATCTCGGCAACCCTCTTTACCACCTGGACGAAGGAGGTCAGCCCACAGCTGGGTTTTTACATTGATAGCAAACCAATTCCGACGGTGAATAACCTGAAAATCCTCGGAGTTGCAGCGCAGTGGACGAAGCTACAGGCATGCCAAAACACGGCACTCCAGACTACGACTGGATGCCTTCTGATGTCGCCTCATCACCACCTACATGACGAGACCCAGATGCTTCCTATCAAGGAGCCCCCGCCAAAGCACGTCAAGAAGCATCTGTACCAACTAACGGACGAAGTCCAGAGGTTCATAAAACAACATCTGGACCCGATTGGATACCAACAGGCCTTAAACGGCATTCGCAAGGAGTCGGTCTCGACTTACATCGACTCCCGACCTGGAAATGGCGTTTTAGGTATACAGCCACTCGATGGGACGGGACAGAGCTTTGGCTGCCTCGGGCGACTCGTATCATAATAGCTCAACCTTGTTTTGGCTACTGCAGCAGCCTAAACACGTACCTGAGAGTGAACCAAGATGTGCTCCATGAGTGGCAGACATGCGTAGAGTCGCCACATGTCTCTCGGCGCCGCTTCGAATGCCCCCAAAAACTCCACCCTGCTAACGCCCCTGTCCTTATGGACAGACCCACTGGAAGTAGCACACTTCCTGGACAAGCCGATCCGAGCGGGGTTTAGTAGCCGCTACAACAACAAGGGCTATCCGATCTCGACAGGGCTAAGTAAACCGCTAAACAACAGCATCCAGAGAGACAACCCAATTTTGAAAGCTTAAAAGGTTCGATCATTCCAACCACATAACCGTATAGAACAAAATCCTCCGGTACAAAACAAAGAATTTACATACAGATGTATATTTTGTCTTAGAAAATTTTTATTTTTTCATTAATTTCTTTTCAACATATGCAATTGGCCAATTTTTGGTCTGCATCTCTTTAGTGCTATTAGTCTTTTCCTATTTGTATTTTAAAAGGTGTGGGTTGTAAATGCAATATGTAACTCAAACAATAATTATTTTAAACTTAAGAGTATATAGAGAGCCGACGACCAAGATAGTGATTGATTGCAGATCTAATATTCATTTTATGCATTATAATGCATTGATAAGTAAAACTTGCGCCGTTTACATTATAAAATTACAACTAACATCTTGATTAGAAAACCTTCTTATTAAAATTCACATTACTTAGATTGTAGGGAAAAACATGCATACTTTATCTGTTATTTAGAGAACGTACCTTAGTAGATGCAATGAATTTATATTTGCACCTTTTTCTATAATTGTAATTTCAAGCTTCTGACGCAAGTACATACACGTGTGCATAGTTAAGTTCGACGCAGATTTCATGTTTCGAGAAAAAAAACAGTACATTCAAGAATAAACAAAGCACCACTTTTAGTAACTTCAATTCCAAAACAATTATACAAAACTATAGCAAGACTCAGATTCATTTTTGTAATTTCTAAATACTATAAAAGTACGTCACTGGCTAGAGCATTAATTATGTGTTGCTAGAACTTAGCAAAGTAGCTGATGCATTCATACCCCGCGATTTCGCAAATCTTTTACCTTATAAATGCGCACCAACCAATGTTCTGTGGTGTAGGCTTCCTCCAAAACATCTAGCTCAAAATCTTTATTACCAATTTCGGCAGCGCGTACACGATCGTAACCTGGCGGTTTACCACCTTCAGTGTACACTTGACCAAAGCGATAGTAACACATCTTGTACATAAGGCAATTGAGTAGTGTTGGTGAACCCTCCTTGTCAACGCGGAATTCACCATTAGCGGCATAATAATCACGTTCTTTGATGTGTGCGCCGCGATCAGTACTACCACCTATGCGCACCATCCACAAGAATTTGTTTATGTCGTCAGATGAATAACCAGTTAGACCACCAAAGATAACAAGCACATAGTCGACATCTAATTCACGCATGATTTCATATGCTTTTTCCTCAGATGAAGCCATCGCTTGGCCAACACGAGATATATGGGTGTTATTCCAGGTATTGTTATCTACTAGAATTGTACGATTAGCCATTGCCGTTATTTGGTAGCCATAATCCCACCAAGACATTACTCGTGCATCCTATACGAAAGAACAAATGCAATTTAGCGCCATAGTAGACCAAATAGTAAAACAAATTTATATAAACACGCAGTCAGCTAGTTAATAGTACTCATTTGGGTTTCATACTCTTCCTATCAAGAATTTCAAGTGTTCATCATGCGAAAGCTTCAATGGACAAATAAAACCAACTCTTTGGTTCAACTCACCTCTGGTGTGTTCATCTGCAGCCAATAGTATGCCTCTCTAAAATCATCAAAAATAATGCGGCCACCATCGTGTGAACGTGCACTAAGTACAATGCTTGGGGAAGAGTATGCTTCTGATGTTACCCATGTGCAGTGGAATGTGTAAACAATGAGCATAAACGTAATTATGCCAACAAAGCCGACTGCAACTTCACTCTTTACACCACTACTCTGCTGTTCTAGTTTTTTATATTGACGCTTACTTTCAATGGGCTTGGAGGACCCTGCGTCAATACATTTTATGTACTTGGATAACAGATGCGACGTGGCAATACCAGACAGAATGCACATAACCGGCGCTAATACAAGCATTAAACGAACCATCACACCCTGCGGAATAGTAATAGCCATTATGTTTATATATTCAATGCAAAATTTTAAGTACTACAAATCATTACCGCAAAATAAATACTTGTAACGCCATACAGTATGATAAAGATATTGGAATCAGTTAATTTGGAGAAACAGAAGTACAAGCCAGCTGGGAATAGGAATACCAATATCTGAAAGTAAGAAAATTTAACAAATTTAAATTTATACAGTAAGCAGTAATTTTTTTTTTTAGTTAAATTTCAGCGATCAAAGTGTGAAGTAATCAATATGTGATAAACAGCCGCAAATCAGTGGAAAATCAACTGCGGCACGTTTACGGACATTAAAGCGCACTCATCCATATAATTGTCATCAGTTTAAATCTGATAATTTTTAAGTCCAAATTACGTGTACGTACCTGTAAATCAAAGTAGAACGACGACCATGACGTGGGCTGATGCTCCGATACAGATGCGATGATTGGAATGTGATTCTTCGCATATGAAGGATCGAGCAATGAATAGAAACGACCAGTCCAAGGTGATACTTTGCCAGTGATCGTCAATACAGTGCCAATTAAAAACACCGTTGTGAGTATAGTAGATACTAACGCTTTAAACAGAACTTCGAAATTTTCTTTGGAAAGCCTCGCTCGCAGACAATCAACAAAAGCGTGTATTTGACAGAGTCCAAAAGTGCCAAGTGCCTGGGATGTGGCAAAAAAAAAAGGAAAATGAATATTTATTGTCTGTACCTATAATAAGGATATAAAACGAAATTTTTTTTTCAGCTTTGTGTTTGGTATTCATGTAAGTTTCATACTCTTCCTATCAAGAAATCACTGTAATCATCACGGATGTATGTACATATCGCTCATTTGCTGCTATAGTGTCATCATCCAAAAAATCAAAGCTCCAGAGAAACTTTCATATATTTTCATATACTGACATAGCAAAAATGAACACATATTTCGTTATGGTGAGCTGCACAGTTACAGCTATGAAATTTAATTTAGGTAGGTACTTAACTCGATTTGGTATTATTGTGGATAACGACACTATTGCAAAAAATCTACGATATGTATTTACCTGAAAAAAATCAAATATTTATTACAAATATTTCGACTCACCAACATATGCTCGGAACTTTGTATTGGCTGAAAGCCGACAAAAGAAATCTGCATCGACAGAATAGTGCCTACACAATAGAGAGTACTGTAGGCAACATAGATGCGATGCGAGAAACGACCAGTGATCATCAGAGCCAACACGTGCAGTGGTATCAAATTGATCAGGAACACATAACCTCCCCATGAGGAAACCATGTAAAAGTATGCCAACGCGGACATTGAAGACCAAAAGATGGCGCCACTTTTTACTGCCTTGATCCACAAGTAGTAGGTTAGTAGCATGCAGAAGATGGCGATGCCCTCATTATCATACGATCCAGCTACAGAACGAGAAATATAACCGGGCACAATCGAGATGAGCGCAGCAGCCACTAAGCCAGCTCCAGTGCTCTGCAAGGGAAAAATGCATTATAATTGTTGAGAAAATATCATAAAAATAAGCGTAAGAATTAATGAAAAAATGCAAGATCTAACACCACGTGTACTCAATTACACATAACCTCTATCTTTAATCAAATCTCTATATATGTATGTACTTACGTGAATTTCCTTTGTAAGCGCATAGGTGACCAACGTGGTCAATGAGGAGAAAAATGGCGCCAGGAACACACAAACATTCCTTATCTCAATGGTAATATTCAATAACCACATGAGTCTGTAGAGCGCTGCAGCTGTCACCATCAGTCCAGGATAAATGGTGCCGCCAATAATGCGACCCAGTGGATACCAAGCGCGATCATCGAACCAATTGTGAAATTTGTAGAATCCTTGTTCAGCAAGAAACCGCGTAGTGCGGTAATTAAAGTACGGATCGAATTCATGGATTACACTTTCAAAACGGAGCACTGAAAACAAACGCGTGGCGAACGCTGCAAAGAATATTTTAAAATGAACGAATTCATAATGAGCAAAGCACCATCGCACAATTATTTGAGTGATTTAGTATTTGAGTGAGAATAGCCGGAGCTATCAAAATTGAGTGAAATTGCTAGCGACTGGATTTATATATTTTCGTTAAATTTTTGTATTTAAATCTAGATATTTATAATTAAATACATATACAAGTTAAAATAAAGTATGTTCCCACATCATAAGCTTCATTTTAAATAAACTTACAGAGCACAGCTGCCAAAATCAACACTGCCAATTTAACGAGATGTTCCTGCTTTTCCCAAGCCAACGCTATTTTTGATCGGCTGCCAGCCAAATAAGCTGTGTCCAAGGTCATACTTTTAACAACTTTTCAAGAAACCACTACCTTTTATAATCCGTATTTATACAAGTGCTCCAACACAAAATATGAGACAGCTCAGCACAAAAAAGCCGGCTAGCGACGCAGCGTCGTCGTTGCCGCAAAGAAAATTTTAAACACAACTATCCAGTAAGAAAAGTAATTTAAGTTACACTGGTAACATATCCCGTCTAAATTTCACTAAAACTAAAAAAAAGTTACGATATTTTATTGCTAAAATTGTGTTAAATATTTTTTTTGAAAAATCTGATGTACGTGTCCGTGGCAAAAACGCCCAAGAAATATGTTAAATGACAACCGGCTAAAATGTCAAACGCGGCTGTGTTTATCGAGGTGCTGCCAGATGAATAAATCCTTTATCAAGTGCAAAAAAAATATTTCGGATTCGATTAACATTTTAATCGAGCTAACGATATTTGGTGTTTACACCATGGTGTAATGAACTGAAGGTGGCGCATTCCCGAAACCGCTACTTTGGTTTTGCCGACTTTGACGTTTATGGCAATACGTAAACAAACTATTTGTTTAGAAACAAGTGCAAACGATTGCAAACGTATTGTGTACTTTCAAGTGAAAATCGAAGTAATTCGTGCGTTCTAAAGTAAAAAACGTTTTATTTGTAATAAAAACTTTATAAAAATGTGTCGTGTGTTGAATTGCAGCAGCCGTAGCCCCCAAATGCAGTTTTTTTTCACTTTTTTTATTATCACTTTTTCGGCACCTGCAATACAAAAACAAAAATTCTAAATAGTTAATTAATAAGACCAATTCTTTTGAACACATTTCAAGAGTGGTTGTATATTTTTTGTTAACGTTGTGCTTAATTTGCTATATTCAAAGATGGCTTGAGAAATTGGTGAGTCGTGAAGAAAACACTTTTTCTCACTGCAAATTCACACCTGTCAACTCATTGTTCTTCGCCATATTCTTTGTTTACCCATTGCCACAAATGTCATTCTGCGGGAACGCGCAATCTTGTATTCTATCGTTCTTGGTACTACACCTTGTATAATTAGTGATAGAACGATACGAGTACCGAGTACAGAATATAGATACTTTTTATGAGTACTGAGTAGTATCGAGGACTCGATACTTTTTGACAAGTACTGAGTAAATATCGCGAATTCCAAAAAGTATCGACGTTTTAAAATTTTGTTTAAGTAAATTTTTTTCTTAAATTACATTTAAAAATGTTTAAAAGTTACCCCAGTGTAAGGAAAGGGTTAGGAGGGTGGTCTGCGTCTCGATAACATGGCAGTTCTCCAGGATAACGGAGCCTTCGTTTTCCAATGTATTCTAACATTCGATTCTTTTTTTAGAGTATTATAAATGAGCACTAGTATCGATACTTTTCTAAAAAGTTCCATCACTATGCATAATTTTACCGTGCTCATGCAATTTGAATTGTGCGGCTTGGCGTTCAGCCATTTTAATAAACATTTGTTTCAGCGGTGGAAAATAAGTTTTGCGTGCCTTCGTTCCGAACGTACAAGTAAGTAAAAATTGCGATAAAAGTTGTTTTAAAACTTTGTATATTTAATGCATCTTTTATTGTGCAGTTGCAATTACATCTTTGCAAATTGCGCGGCTCGGCGTTCGACCAATTCTATTAAAATTGCATTTTGCATTCAGCGGTGGAAAATAAGCTTTGTGTGCCTTTCGGATTGGGGCGAGTGCAGTGCCACTGCGAATTCGCAAAATACTAGCGTGGATATTTAATTGTATGACTCCGATTGCCGGTCGGAAAATGAAACAGAAATTAGATGCCAACCAGTAATATTATAGATTTTGAGACGAGAAACACGATTCTGTTTAAAAAGCGGAAAAAAATTTCAACCCCTTAATTTGAAAAATGTATTATATGTTGATTTTTAATGATTTGCATGCAGTTGTGCATCCTTCGCAAATTTTATATCCCTTGAGAGCTAAATTATTACGATTCTGAAGTTCAACTTCAAAATTTCTTTCGACATTTTACGCAATTTTTTTTCCTAATTTCGCAGTAAAAACTAGTACGGCAGTTTCGATGTTTGATTTAAAATTGTTATAACTTAGCTCTCAGAGGGCCTAGAGGCTTATACCTTGACTCAAATTAAAGGTCTTCAATTGCACTTATTGTTCGAGGGATATAAAATTGTGTGAAGGATGCACAGCTGCATGCAAATAGAAAAAAAATGCTATAAATAATGCATTTTTTAAATTAAGGTGTTAAATTTTTTTTTCGAAGTTTGAACAGTGGAATTGTGATGCTCGACTCAAAATCTATAGTACTAGTATAATAAAAAATACATAAATTTTTTGTTTTGGCATAAATCCCGTGGATTTTGCATGTTTTTTTTTTTTCGAAGAGCATTACTTTTGACTAATTTTTTTAAGGTCAAATGGTAATTGTGGCTCAATGGCTATATTTTTTCGCTTTTTGTACTTTAGCTTTCAAAACCATTTTGTTTCGTATCAAAATGCTGCTTCTGTCGAAAGCGCTACGATTAATTCGCATGCAGTGTTGAAAAAGCACACTGTGCGGCTTGTGACAGGACAAGAGATGTATTTTAAAATGCTGTGCATGTTCATATATGAGCTCGGCGGCAAAATCTATTAGAAATCTCCAACTTCATAACAGAAAAAATTTCAATTAGGACGAAATTGTTCCGGAAGTACAATCAAATACCAAGAGTGTAATTGAAATTCTTGACCAAACTCGGATTTCTCGACCGACTCGGATTTGGGGGGGATTGAAAATTACTTGATAAAAATCTTGGTACAATTTCTTTACAAATAATTTCTCAAGAAAACACATAATTGGGCGGTAAGTCGCGTATAACCAGGGCGCGGACAATAACCAGCTTTTGGCTTCAGGCGCTAAACGGTTAAGTAGTATATTAAGCAACACTGATGGGCCTTCAACAAGTACTGCTAAAAGTCTTATAAGCAACCTACAAATAATTGTAGATTCCTCCTGCAAAAGCGAAGGCTCGGATGTGAATCTGGAAACATTAAAAAATTTGAAATTAAAGCTTAACTGAACGCCTATATTAAAGAAAAAATTAGCTCATCTCGGTGAAAATCCTCTCGATCAGCGTTGCACCCGCCAGCGTTCCAAAGGGGCAATTATTCACTGCAGCCGGCCTTATATACGAGCCTCTAAGAAATCGCCTCATTTGAGAAAAAATTACTTTTTTTTTTTAAATATAATATCCCCTTTCGAACTTTGACTACTTACTACATTTAAACACTTTATAGGTTTAGCACAGGTTCAATGTTCTAATAATTGCCAAAATTTTTAAGTAATAAAAACGATGATTAAGTTGATTATCAGGCCGATTCTGAACAGAAACTCCCTGGGAGTTTTC